CAGTTCACCAACAGTGTGTGTAAACATCAGATTCATTATCAAATTCATATCAGGAGAGAGGGAATATAAAGTTTGGTTTTTGCTTAAGCATTTGATAATGGGAATGACATTCTCTTTGTATCAAATATTAAATTAATAAAAGATTCAAGAATTCACTGTGTATGGAGTATTTAAAAAAAAAAAAGGCCCAAATATCCACTGGATCAGTGACAGAGAACTAAATAAGAACAAAATATTTTTACCTGCAAGTAAAAATATGTAATACATATTATACATAATATTTTCCTCAGATGGGGACTAATTTACTAGAGCATCTACTTCACATTTATGGTCAGGAACCCCTAGTGGTTGTTAATGACAGCTGAAGGGCTTTTCCTGCATGGTAGGTGAAGACTGGAACAGGGCTTGAGATGGTGGCATTGAGATCCTGACTCCTGCTGAGGTCTGAATGGAAACCCCAAGGCAAATCTCTCTGTGGGAACTAAGAAGAGAATTAACAGGCCCAGAGGGCATTGTAGGTTTTTCTATGAACCAATCTTATTAAACATTTTTACAGTGACCATGGCACAGTGACACGGTCCACTAGAAATGTTTTAAGAACATTTGCTGATGATGCAGCAGTCAGAAACATCATTAATAAAGATGAGGATCAGGACAATTTGAGAAAGGATCAAACATCCAGAGCAAAGAGTTGTGCACATATGAAATAATTGGATTTTCTGCCAAAGAATAATGGCATTCCTTAGGTCACCACAGTTGGTAACAGAAGTGAAGAATTTGTTGTGAACCACCAGTGTGATGCAAAGGTGGAAAAAACAGAAGCTCTGACATATAATGCAAAGTGTTCCCAAAGGAATTACAAAGTGAATGTCATTCTGCTGGCACAGTTTGTTCTTGCCTTCACAAGGAAGATTACTTCAAACCAGAACAGACAGAATCTGGTGAAACACAATATCTATTTTAGCGAAGGAAGCCATTAATAAAATATACACTGAGGGGAGACAGGATTGTTCCACAAACACAGAAATATGTTTAAGAGTCCAAGAAGAAAACTAACTTCTACATTAAAGAATGCTGCTGGCACAACAACAACAATAAAATGGTATAAATTAGCCAAAGATACACCAGAAATCATATTTCTATCAGATAAATGAGGCTCTGGATGAGGTTTCCAGTAAGTGTAGTAGTACAAAAAAAAAAAACAAAAAACTGATTGAATTTATGTGGGATCAGGATATGAAAGTAGATGTATGAGACATAACCATATGGAAGAGTGCCAGCAGTAACAGGTGACTGGCTTCAAGGGATAGAAGTCCTGCAGGTTCTGAATTCCATCTCTTTAGAAGATGCTTTAAAACAATGTTCTACAGCCCAAGTAAAAATGATTAATACTAATTATGGAACACATGTCTGGTACATCAAGAGACAAAAATCTGCACAACAAAGTAAATAGCCTGTGTAAGATCTTTCTTATATAGTAGTGTACTGGTTACTATAACAACAAATTTTCGTTGGTTTCTACTTTAAAGAAAAATTTTCTATATTAAATGAAAACTAATATACTCTAGTGCAAATGGTGATTTTTGTGGAGCAAGCATCAAAATTTTGACAACGATGAGGGTGCACATTGGAATGCATACCATACCAAATCCAGAGATAATTAGAGAAAATGTAAAATGTATCAGCATTATTCTATGAAAAAAAATTTAGTTTGTGTGATCATTTAAAACAAAACAAAACAAAACAAACAATTAACAAACAAGAGGTAAGTAAATGTTTCAATTTATAAGCTACAATGCCATTTCCAAAATTCCCAACCACCACGATGTTTCTTTTCCTGCTTGCAGCAACCTAAAAGCATCTTTCAGGACAGGAAATAATTTCCTTCAGGCCCATTGTTATCCCAAAGCATCTTTCAGAGCCCTCTGTCATGCTGTGCTCCCAATCTTCTGTTGTGCTCCCTCTTGCCTTGTTTGCTTACCTAGCACCAACTTACCAGACCTGACCCAGATGCCCTTGTGGATGGGAGCACAGTGCTCTTCACATACACAAGACAATATGCAACAGTTGAGCTGTGTTTGTTTATCTCAACTGCAAAATATGACTTTTATAATTACTCTGAATCAATTAAAACAACAGCTCACCCGTTTTTCTCAATGGCCATCAACTTAAAAAGTGCTCTTGATTGAGTATATTTTCATTTTTGGTCACGTGTTTGAGAATATTTGTTCCAGCAATTTTACAAAACCCTGTTTTCCTTTTTGGCAGCAAAGCACAAGCTGTAAATTGTCCCCTACCTTCATTTTCTTTTAAAGCTCAAACAAAGGATTGCTCTCGCCCTCCCAACAGATCCATGTAAATCAAAGCCTAGTAAAGAGCAAGTCTGATAATCTGAGAAAACAGACGACACTAACTATACAATTGGATCATTACAGATTCCAAATCATAACTTCTTATTGGTCACAGACAGAAACCTCTAACAATATTTATAAAGAAACTGAGAGAAGAGCCACTACATCATGAATACGCTCAATAATCCTACAAATCTAGGAATGTATTGTGCAGAGCTGATAGAGCACTTAATTCATAGAATTGTTTGAGTTGTAAGAGTCCCATAATGGTCATCTATCCAACTCCCTAGCAATTAACAGGGATGCCTACAGTTAGGTCATAAGCTACGTTGCTTAGAGTCCCATCCAGCCTGACCTCGAGTATCTGCAGGGACAGGGCATTCATCACATCACTGGGCAATCTGTACCCAATTTCCCCTTGTCCTCTCACAACAGACCCTGCTAGTGTCTGTCCTCTTCCTTTTCATAGCTCCCCTTCTCCCCCTTTAGATACTGAAAGGCTGATCTCAGATCTTGCCAGTGCCTTCTCTTCTCCAGGCTGAACAGCCCCAGCTCACTCAGCCTGTTCTTCTAGACATTTTATCCCTTGTATCATTTTTGTGGCCTTCTTCTGTTTGCACTCCAACAGATCCTTTCTCCGTTCTACAGCTTGTCCTTCCACTCCATTTCCACATGGACTGAGGCTTCCCATGATGACAACAACTAACTCCATGTCTGTCCCAGGACTTTCTCAGACATCTGGTCCCACACTTCTGGATATACACCAACCTAACTGAAGAAAAAAGACCCTTCGTCTCTCTCCTACACGTGCTTATTATTGCTGGCTGATGAAACATGACAGGAACGGCAGATGTATCTTATTCACCAGTCTGTCTCCAATGGGTATAATTCAACTTATGTCCTTAGGGACTTTTTCATACTGGCAGTGTTGAGCAAATAACCTTGTCGCTGGCAGGAGAACTACAACCAACCCTCAATGATACAGGCAGACCAGTAAGAAAACACATGCTAGCAAAAGACAGCCAACCAATCAGGGTGTAATTAGCATATGTAAATAATTAAGGTGTAAATTCTCTTTTCCAACCTCCTAGCTGTTGGAGCTGTCACTAACAAAACACAGAACTCATCCACATCCTCCTCTGTTATCACAGAAAAAGACGTAACAGAAGTCTTCACAACCTTGAAGAAGTAATCAAAAACAGACAAGTTAAAATGACATTTTATATTATAAAATAAACTGTCTTCTAATATTTACAATGAGAAATTGATAGGCATTTATATCATCATTGAATACAAGCAGACAGAAGGAACATCTATTACTGAGGATTTAATATAATGACCAATGCAATCCATGTGTAAGACAACTGAATAGGAACAAAGCAAGAGCCATTATACACAATTTGCAGTTAGACAAATCCTCATAGTTATCATTAAAAGAATGCTATCTAACTTTCTTGAACTATAGCACCATGAGATCTGAACACAGCAACTGCTGTCTGCAATAACAGAAGTATCACACTTGCCTGTCACAGTAAGATACTGGAAGATACAACGTTGCTAATGAGTGGCTATAGCATGTGGACCAGCAAAATTCCTAATATTCTGCGAAAATTGCTAAAAGCTCTCTGGCATCTGCCATGAGGCAATTCAGCCCATTTTGAAAGAAACTGAAGAAGCCTAGTGAAGACAGGGATGTGCAATGTTTCTGTAACTTGTCCATCTGAGGACTTTGCAATGCTTCAACAAAAGATTGAAGGAAAAGTTGGAGGGGAACTGAAAGGAACAATGCAAATAAACTAACACAGCACCTCAAACAAGAAATCTGTCATTTACAACGGAACAGAGTTGGCTAGGAGAGAAATGAAAGAATGCAAAGTCTAAAACTGAAACCATAGTGATGTTCTGGACAACCAACAACGAAGGCAGCAAAACAGAAAAAAATTACTGAAACACATTTGCATTTAAATCCAACATTAAGTGCAAAAACATGTATTGTAAATTTTAATTAAAGCTGCTCCTTATATCAACAAAGTTTTCCACATAAAAAAGTGAAACAGAGGCAAGACAGAACTCACCCTTCAGCTCACAGTGCAAGACCAGCACGGCTCCCTGGATCAATCCTTTTGTCGATATTATTCAGTATATCCTAGCCTACAGTGGAAGTGATTGAAACTAAACTAGAAAGTCAGCCTAATTTTGGAGATAAAATAACCACATTGAGACTTAATTTGGTACGACAGCTTAGCTATCCCAGTTCATTATAGTGGTCAAGCTTGTTTAAAGAAGGTAACAAGCTCTACACTTGACCCGTTAATGACAGGAGCAATACTGTTGTCCATTGGTGCTAATGCAGAACAGCCCTCGTCTAACATATAGGAGGTGTTTTGCAATAGCAATCTTTGTAACTTGATAGAATGTAAGAATTAAAGCTGACATTTTAAATAGCTTCTCGTTGCCTTACACTGTTTGGAAACTGCACATTAGTAGAGGAGGCACATCTATCTCCGTTAATGTGAGTGGGTACTTCCTAACATCATAGTTGATTTATTATTATGGCTTTAAGACCGAGGCTGTACTTGACATTACAGAAAGCAAAATAAAGATACTTTCTGCCATAAAAAAAAAATGCAGTGTAACAGATACAAAACAATGGGGAAAACAGAAAAAGCAATAAGTAGGATCAAATGTTTTCTTAAAAAAAAAAAAAAAAACAAACCCAAAAATAACAGCTGGCAGCCAGCTACTGTCTGGAGCAGTTTCCTATCTGCATGGTGTTTGCCTACATGCTTTAAGGATACGCAAGCTACATATGTACCCAAATCCTATGGCCAGCTGAGACCACTGTCTCTGCTGTGGTCTCTCCCAGCTTCCTGCTCAACAGCAGTCTGTTCACTGAGGGAAAGGTGCGAGCAGAGGGGGAAATAAAAAGGCCCAGCCTTGGTGCTGTGCAAGCACTCCTCGGCAGCAGCCAGAACAGCAGTGCGTTATCTGCACTGTTGGAGTCACAAATCCAACCTGCAGCATGGTAGCTATAAAGCTTGTTAACTCCATCTCAGTCAGACCCTGTACACCAATGCACAAGGGTAAAAAAAAAAAAAAAGAGAGAAGCTTTAAGTATATGCAGGCAGAAGGCAAGCTCCTAAAAGGTTCAGTGTTCTCGGTGTACATACTGGGCTTGGTGCTCCCTCAGGATTTGCTTCCTGAGCCAGATGTAGCACTGGCACAGCAGGAGTACAGCAGGATGTGACTGATGCATGTTTCTTCATCTCCAGAAGGCTTTTCCTTGTTCCCAAATACAATACTAATGTCACATTTACTCTGTATTGCCACAGTAGCAAATGAAGCAGGATGTGACAGAGACTTAACCCCAAAAGCACATATTTTGTGACCTAAGATAGCTCCATATTTGCAAAACCATTTTAACAGACTGGAAAAGATTTTAAAGTTGGAGTATTTCTGTGCAATTGCTCAGTCATATTCTGGGTAGTCAAAGAAATCCAACTCACTCCAAAAACAAAAATGGTAACAGATTCTGTGTCCAATGAAAAAACACCATCACTCCTGTGACAGGCAAGTAAGCACAAAGAGCAGAGATGGACAATAATCTTTCATTTCCAGCAGTTTCTGCAAAGCCAGCCCTCGTGGGGATACGCTTTTTTGAAGCTGAAGGAATAATTATTTCAAACAACCATAAAACCTTCAAAACATTATCAGTTTCACAAAACATTACATATGGTATACTAACATGAACATGGTCTTTCTTCACTCACAAGAAGGAAGGTATACATTAATGCAGAAATAATAAACATGATAAACATACAAGTTTAACAAAAACTAGATTTTGCATTTTAAACTTGGCCTTCTAACTTTATTATTAGAGCAAAGAAAGGACAGCTTGGCCTTCTAACTTTATTAGAGCAAAGAAAGGACAGAACACACTTCAGCATCCATAACATTAAATATTTTAGATCCCCTCTTTGCTGCCTGTCTTTTTAGGACTACCAATACTGTCTGATAAAGGTAGTATTGACTACATATAACTTAGTCCAGCTTGATGTGAGCAGTCACTCTTATAACAACAGAAGAATGTACTGGATGTAAAAGCTAACTCTGTTTTTGGCTTTGAATCTCTTCCAGATAGAAAGAATAATGCATGCCATAGTTTATTCTGCTTTGTATTGCCAGGAGATTTTCTTTTAGGTGTCACACCACTGGAAGATTTCTGTATATGTCTGATGGAAGGGAATTTGAGGAGAGTTTTCCCACATAGGTGTCTGAGTTCTTCACAGTTTCAGAAAGGCAACCTATAAAAGGAAGCAAAAACAGAACGGTGGTTGGTCTCAACAATGCAGGATAACAAAAAAAAAAACAAAAAAACAGATGTTTAATTGAAATTACATATTATAATAATCTTTTCACTTAAAACCAAGACCACTAGTGTGATGAGAGAGAAGATGCTATATTAGAAATGTTACTTTTCCAACCACTTTTTTGCCTAACATTTCTCTCTCCAAAGATACTAACTCAGAAAGTAGTTCGCTGACTGGAGACACAATCATATGTCAGGATTCTTATCTGACAAGGAAATTGTTTCGGATATTGAACTGGGAACAAGCACCACATCTTGCAGATCACAAGGACTAAAAAAAAGATGGGACAGATACCACCATGTGAGGACAAAATAAAAAAGACAACGTGTTACAGAACTGACTCCTGAAAAACACAAAAACACAGGAGAAAAAGAACAGAGACACTTTTTTTTCCTCAAAGAACTTTTCAACTGTACTCAAGTGAAAAAATTACTTATCACTTCCGATTTTCTGAACTGACAGTCAATAACTGGTCTACTTGATACTGTAAGCAAGGAATACAGGAAGCATGATCAACCAGAAGGACCTAAATTAAAGCATAAAATATCACCAAGCAGGGTGAACAGAGGGTAAACAAAGAAAAAACAAAACTATCCTATGGCCAAAGAGTGTTTAACAGAGAGCTGTACGTCTGCTATAGAGGGATGTAAAAAATTAAGCAAGCTTGAACATATTTAAGAGGATTCTCAGAAAATCATTCATACAAAAGATTCATATTTAAAATAACACAACTATGAGATGCTAATGGGATATGGGAACAGAAATTCTTGGCTAGAATGGTAAAAATCAAGTCACATCTCTTCCTAAATAACTTTTTCAACTCCAACAATCCCAGCAGTACCTTTGAGAAAGCTGCCGTGTTACTACATGGAAGAGTTTATTTACAGAGACAGGACAACAGAGAGCCACAAAAGCTTCCATATTTCTGAATCATTCTGTTCTTCCAAAGTGGAACAAAAATTCAGAGAAAAAGATTTTCATGTACAACATAAATTTTCAGAAATGCCTGGAGGCAAAGCTGGCCAGTATGCAGCCAGCTGGTCAGGGTGGAAGTCTAAGATTTTCCTGGGAAACTCAGCATCACATTGACACCTTCCCATTGTGCTTTTTCATTCAGTTTAATCAGCACTTTCTAACAAGCTGCTCCAGCACAAACATTCCTGTCAGCTCAACCAAAGGTTGTTGTAAAGACTTGAAATGGGTCATCCTGTGTGGTAATTTATCATCTACTAGGCAAAGATTCCCAACCTCAAAGACACAAACTGTAAGAAGAACCAATGTGCCTATCACCTTTCTCATGATCTATTCACTCAGATGAACAGAGACAGATATACAATTAAACGTAAATTCTTACCTATGCAGAGAAGTTATAAGTAACACAGACTAGGAAGGAAATCCTGGCCAAATTAAGTCATAGGCAAAACTCACACTGAGTTTGACAGAGCCATAAATTTGCCCTTGCATTGCAAGGAAGATGTCCTTGTTTCAATTGCAACAACATCAATAGCACAATGATGTTTTGGTTGTTGCTGAGTGATGGAAGCATGCCTGGGATCAGGCCAGCTGCTCAGCAGGGAAGAGCCACCCCCTTCATAGTGTGGTGGAACCATTGGGGTGAGTGAGCAAAAGGCTGTGCTGTGTTTAGGTGCCTGCTGAGTTAAACCACAACAGAAAAAAAGTTTTTTTAAAAAAGGAATTTAAAAAAAAATCTAGAAAGACAATAAACATATTAATACATGTCACAAGATTTTAAGCATTTTTTTTTTTTCAAGCCCAAGACTATAGGCTCTTTTTGTACCTGTTTCTGAGGTATCATTAGAATGGATATATTTATTTAATTTGACTACTTGCTATATTTTATAGTGTATGAAATGCACTTATTCATTCCTCTGAGAATATTATTTGCAACAAAATGTTTTCCTGAACCTCTAGGCTCCTCTACTGCCCAATAAAATGAAAAATGTCTAAAGGAATTGTTTTTCAGTGTCTGCATTTCCACTTAATATCAATGCGAATGAGAAAAAGCACATCAGCTCATTCGTAAAGTTGACAGAGCTGACAAAGAATGGGTCAACACATGGAAATTGTAAGCTCTTTAAAGAACACCTGCAACACATGAAGATGTTCAAGGATGAAAACTACTCAAAGTAAATAACTTACAAAGTTCCTCCATAACCAAAGTTCAATACGAAGCATGTAAAATGGCTCCCTTTATTGTATTTTATATGAGTTTATATGATTACATATGATTGGTGTATGTTCAAGATAACACAGACTGGACTGTACACTGGTTTCAAAATTACAAATCTATGAATTGGACAAGTGGGAGGGAGTGCTTTTCCCCCAGCTCTTCATTCAGCAGGATATTTTCTTTGCAAAATGGACAATACCAGTCTACAGTCTTCTAGTGAAGTTCACAAATGCAGTATTTCACTGCAACCACTGCATTGTAGAATAAAAATCACGTACCCAACAGCTACCTGATCTACAAATTGAGGTATATCACTAAGTTAAGAATAAAAATCACTTCTCTAATTCAAGGATCTTGATATTGCCCATAACTCGACATACTGCTTCCTTTTTTTCAATGGCTCAAGATAGCTAGTTGCAAACCTCTGCTAAGACCTGACTTCTGTACTCCAGCATCCTTACTTATATGACAGGTAACGTTATTTTTTCATTTCCTCTCCAGTACACCTTAAGATGATCACCTTATTTTGTCACAGTACCAAATGCATTGCAGCAATCCACCTTGTTATTTTCTGTAGTGCCAGAAATTGCTGCATAATGAATGAACATAGACTCCACATTTTCAACATTTTAAAGAAATATCTTTAGAGTGGGAGCTATAGAGCACCGCAGACATACAAAGGATGTATCTCACAAAGTCATACTTTTCGTAAACAATGAAACAACTACAATTTTGTTAAAAGCTTTTAGAACCAGGGTAAGTTAATAAATTCAAACTAAAATATTCAGTTCTAGAAACTGTGCTCTCTTAGCTTTCCCAGGAAAATGCAAAATATCAAGCTTAAGCACTCTCCATACTACGTGAAAATGATGCTGAGAATTTAGGAAAAGCAACTTGATAGCATGGTCAAACTTACATGGTCAAATAAGTACACCAGGCTGAAAACTACCAAAATGGAGGCTGACAGTGTTCTTTTCTCAGTAGGGAGAAAGTTGATATGGGGTTATAGGTTTCAGTTGTTCTGAATCTCTCTCATAACACTTACTTTCATGGAGCATTTCATCATTTTCCTGACTACTTATGATAAAAACCTCCCAGAAAACAACAGTGGGATAAAGACATACAGTACTGAATAGGGCACTGAGTCACAGAATCATACCCCGAGGAGTAACAGGTAAAAGAAAAAAGTTATAACTTCAGAAAATATTTGAAAAGCTCTGGAGTCCTGACAAACTAGGGAAATAAAAGAGGATGGTTCTAGATGGCAGAAGCTGCTGCAAAGAAATCTGCTCTCCCCAAAATGCTAACACTGGGCAAACGGGCTAGTTTAAGAGAAGCAGAAGCGTGACTAGAGGCAGTGAAACAATAAATTTTACAGAAATGCAATCTGCAAATCACAGAATCACGGAATGGCCAGGGTTGGAAGGGACCTCAAGGATCATGAATCTCCAACCCCCCTACCACATGCAGGGTCACCAACCTCCCTGTTTAATATTAGACCAGGCTGCCCAGGGCCCCATCCAATCTGGCCTTGAACACCTCCAGGGACGGGGCATCCACAACCTCTCTGGGCAGCCTGTTCCAGCACCTCACCACTCTCACAGTAAAGAACTTCCCCCTGACATCCAGCCTAAATCTTCCCTCTCTCAACTTAAAACCATTTCCCCTCGTCCTGCAGTTAATCAACCCTTTCAAAGAGTTGATTCCCCTCCTATTTGTAGGCTCCCTTTAGGTACTGAAATGCTGCAATGAGGTCATCCGAAAGCCTTCTTTTCTCCAGGCTGAACAAGCCCAGCTCCCTCAGCCTGTCTTCATAGGGGAGGTGCTCCAGACCTCTGATCATCTTTGTGGCCTTCCTCTGGACTCTCTCCAACAGCTGCCCACCCTGTCTTTTTTGTACTGGGGGCTCCATAGTGGGACACAGTATTCCAGATGGGGCCTCATGAGCAGAGTAGAGGAGGAAATCCAGTGCATAAAATCTGTTTTGTGGAGCTGACAATAGACAGAGGATATGCAGCAACATAAGAAAGTTATTTTATCAGCTAAGGAAAGGAAAAGTAGTTCAATCTCACCCAAGTTTAAAACTGTTCTTGTTTGTATTCCCTTTAGAGGAAAGAAACCAAGTGAAATGTGCATAAGAAAAGATCCTTTTGTATGCCTCTAAAAGTTGAGGACACAATTTCTAACAATTATGTCTCTTCCAACAATTAAACAGAAGTAGGTATAAGATATACAACAGAATTTCCCTTCAGTATAAGAGAGGGAACTGTACATATGTTGCTCCAAAAGAAATGCCTCATATTTGTTGCCACAGAAACTACAACGGATATAAAAAGAGCACAATAACGCTAGTGGATAGAACAAACTCTCAGCAATAAAACACTGTTTTTCAATGTAGTTACCACCTATCAACCATGCATTTTCACCATGATGAACAAGAGTCTGCATGCCACACTTGTAACTATCTGCACCAGTGGAGGTGACCCAGTGTTGCTACTGCTGAAACACACCACCCACCACCTCACTACACTCACATTCACTCTTTCATCTCCATAAACATTATGCAAGCGTCAGTGAATGTCAATGGGTGCAATTTTTTTCTGCATGCAGGAATTCAATGCCACACCTTTGCTTCATCCACACTTCCATGTCAGACACCATTGTGTCAGACTGCCCCTCAGCTGCCATTTGTCACACAGCAACAACATGGAATGGAAAATCGGCAGGAAGGTTCAGCCTCTAC